GGGAGGCACGAGGGGGCGCGCAGGCGTGCGTGAGGGCGGGTGTGCCGCGGCGCGTGGGTGCGGCGACAGAAGCCGGCTGGAAGAGAGGAAAGAGTTGCGTTTGCCACAGACGTCGCTAGCAAAATGTGTCTTGGCGGGCGCCCCACGCCGTGGTGCCGGCGCGGGAAGCGAGGCACGCCAGGGCGGCCCCGCACACCACCGCCAAAAGAAGAAGCACGATCAAAAAACCCAGAAGAAAGCCCCTCCCTCCCTCCCTCCCTCAGAAAACCCACAAAATATAAAAAAGGCAAACGCAGAAAACGCCCTCCCCCAACGCGCCGCCGTGGCAGAGGCGTCACAGGCGGGCAGGGGGGGCCTTGAGGCTCTCCGCCACCTTCAGCAGAAACTCGCGGCACTTCGTCAGCTGCGCGGCGGTGATGTACTCATTTGCGCAGTGGACAGCCCCGCCGTGGGGCCCACACACCACAGTTGGGGCGCCGGCGATGCCGCTGAAGTGCCCCGCCTCCGTGCCGCCAGCAGCCTTCTCCACCGTGTGGTGGCCGGTGAGGGCGCGCGCCAGCTTGGTGATGGGCGCCTCCTCGCTGCCCTCAAAGGGCGGAATCGCCTCCACCTGCGTGATCTCGACCTTGGCGTCCGCAAGCTCCGCCCTCATCGCCGGCAGCAGCTCCGTCTCCACGTACGCCCGCACCCGCTGCTCCACCGCGGCGAGGGGCTCGCGTGGAAGGTTGCGGAACTCGAAGCCGATCTCGCACAGCGCCGGCACAGTGTTCATGGCGTTGCCGCCGCTGATGAGGTTCGTCGAGAGCGTCGAGAAGGGGACGACGAAGTCATTGTCGCGGGCGCCCCTCCGGCGGTAGTCCTCCGCGATCTCGCGCAGCTTCACAACGAGCTTCGCGGCGTAGTCGATGGCGTTGCAGCCTTCGCCGGTCAGCGCGAGCGACGAGTGCACCGCCTTGCCGTGCACGCGCACGCGAAAGCGGTAGGCGCCCTTGTGGCCGGTCTGCACCCGCATATTACTCGGCTCCCCGATGATGCAGCCGTCCACCCTGATGTGGTGGTCCCGCAGGAACTCCGCCAGCACCTTCCCGCCGACGCAGCCCGGCTCCTCGTCGTACGACCACGAAAAGTGGATCGGCTTCGCCCGCTTCATCTTCAGCAGCTCGGGGGTGAGCGACATGCAGACGGCGACGAAGCCCTTCATGTCGGACGTCCCGCGCCCGTACAACTTCCCGTCCCTCTCCGTCAGCGTGAACGGGTCGCTGTCCCACTTCTGCCCGTCCACCGGCACCACGTCGGTGTGGCCGGAGAAAATGATGCCGCCGTCGGTCACGCCGCCGTCGCCCGGCAGCGTCGCCCACAGGTTCGCCTTCGTCCTCTCGGGGTTGTGGATCAGCGTGCACTTGACGCCGACCCCCTCCAGGTAGTCCCTGCAGTAGTGGATGAGCTCGAGGTTCGAGTTGCGGCTGGTGGTGTCAAAGGCCACCAGCTTCGCCAGCCACTGCGTGTGGTCCATGTGCCGCGCCGCCATCGCCGAGGTGAGTTGCTTTGGCTCTTCTGGGGGGATGGGGGGAGGAGCGGTGGGGGGCAAGGAGGGGGAAAGGTGCGGCGGGGAGGCGACGGAGGGGGGCGCGGCGT